GAGGCATGTATGAAAATGTCATAATGAATCCTATTTTGTACAATTAATATGTACTCATAATCCGGATAAAATAGGAGCTATCATTGACCAAACATGTAAATATATGCAGTGCACATGTAAATCATTCCTACATAACTGAATAGGTAAGATAAATGTTATGCATACATTCCACAGAATAAGAAACCAGGGCAGCAAAATGTAAACTAAATTGCCCCAGACCAAGCAGTAAATGAGCAGCATGCTGGGATTTGATCTAGGTCTAATTAAATCCCAAACCCATAGCTTATCCACCATATTCTCCATACCTAAAAATATGTCAGCGAAATAAAAAGGTAATTTGTTTTTCTTTGTTCTTTAAAAAGAGGGCCGGGGATTTAGCTCAGTGGTGCCACACCTGCCTTGCAAGCGCAAGGTCTTGAGTTCAATCCCCAGTACCAAAAAAAATAAAAAAATAAAAATAAAAAAGAAAGGTGATCTTACAACATCTATACGGCAAAAATACTAATAAATATTTTAAAAGTGTAAGATTGCACAGTGAGCCGTGTGGCAATATGGTACCAGCCACAAGAATGAAATCAGTTTGAAAAATACTAATATGGTGAATTTCATTATGGAAATTCCAAGCGTTTCATAGAAAATGGTTTTCATTAACTGTCTTTTAACTGATGAACAAGGTTAGTAGCCATTGTTTTTATTTTCCTCCTTAAAGACAGGTGATTCTCAAATGAACAAATGAAAACAGGCTACTAACTAACATTTAGTGAGTACTTCCTGGAAGTCATTGTGCTAGGTACTCTCACATTATCTCTTTTAATCCTACAAGATTAATTCTGACAATTCTACAAGACTGGAGTTATAATCATCATCTTAAGAATGAGTAATGAGAGCATCAGAGAGACCAAGTCACTTACTATCATGTAGAAAAGACGTGTTGACATCAAGCCACAGGGCATGGCTATCCAAATGTAAAGCATTGGTCTTAAATGTCCAAGAGTAATAGATTCTTGTTCAATAAAACAATGAATATTAACTTCTGTGTATTCAGAAATGTGGGCAGTTTTAGAATTAACTGACATGAATGTCTCTAATCCAGATATGCATCAGCCCTTTGAACACAGGAATACAAGCTAGAGATTTACACTGGCTTGTTTTCCTATTCTGCTTCCTATTTATTCAAAAACAGCCATTATGTTTGGAAAATATGCTTACTCCAAGTCTCCAACTGAACTGGACTGCCATAATTTGATGGGATGAATCTGCTCATTGGCCTGCCCATTTTGACCCCAATAGAAAGCCAATGCCCTTCACAGACTATGTTTCTATTCCTGTCAAGTAAAACATTATGGAAAGTGTACATAGCTGCCCACATTAATCAAGTTTTCCCTTACATCAAGAGATGTAGTGGGCACTCAAGCAAGACCACCTGGATGCTGGTCCTGCTCTGCCACCCACCACCACAAGACCAAGTTACTTAACTCTTCTGTGCATCAGTTCTTCAAATATAAAATTGGAAAAATAATAATAAACCTAATGGAGATGTTGTGAAGATGAATTCAGATAGTACATGCAAAACACTAAAAACAGTGATAACCTGGTTTCCTTTTTTGTTTTTTCTGAAAACCTGTTATGTTCCACTGCATTGCTAAATCTTCCATTGGAGACTTCAGATTGCCTATCTTTGCTACTGTGTGGATTTCTAGAATTAGCCAGCAATATTACAGCAAGTTTCTTCATGACCGAATGTCACCACATAGTGTGCTGGAGGGAAACCAGCACAGCAGTTCAAGGGAGGAAGGAAGGAAAGAAATCGAAGAGGCTGGTGAACCACAGCTCTTTCCGTAATTGCCCTAAACAACAAACTCTCTGTGTAGAGTCTATAGGAGGGGTTTCCCAACCTTTTTGAAAGAAGGGCTTTGTTTTTATTTCCATGAACTCTTGAAATCAACAAAAGCAGGGGAGCCCACTACAAAACAGCTCAGCAGAGCTGGGGAGGGAAGCATCTCTGTTGGCTGAGTTAAATTTCCAATCTGAAAAGCATAATATCCGGTCCAGTCTGTAAACTCTCATGTACTGAAGTGAGGTTAATGTTTTGGGGAATGCCTGTTCTACAAAATGCTACACATCAGTTTTAAAAGAGGCTTGGCTCAGAAGAAGGAAAGGAAAAAACTGTTTATTGAAGATTGATTGCTTTCATGTATATCCTGCATTTATTCCTTCAAGCAGTCCTGCAAAGGCTTCGAGGAAAATTATTCTTGCAATGCATGATATAAACTCAATACTTTAGTTACTTACAATTAATGATTGGTAAGGGGGCATTTAATTCGCTTAACAGATATTTATTGAATTCTTTGTAGGTGTCAAGAACCGCGGTAAATGCTAAATATATAGCTTTAGAAGGTGAAAAATATAGATGAATCTCTACTCTCGTGGAAACTAGAACCCAATAGGAGAGATTAGACATGCAGATGTGTTCCAAAGTATAAGTTATAATCTCCTGGAACAAAAGTAAATGGTTAAGTGAGTTGATCGGCTTGGGGAAGGCTTCTAATTAGATACGGCACACTTCAGACTTATACGCTGATTTAGCTTCTGCAATGAGAAGAAAGCTGCAGAAAGTCTATTTACAGAAATAATAACTTGCCCTCTTTGCACTATTAATTTAAAGCTTTTGAAGATAGAAAAAGTTATTTGTAGATTTGCTTCCATTTCCAGAAGAGACTATGTCTTACTAGTGTTTAAATCTTCTCCAATCCACAGTATTTTGCACAATAAGAAAAATTTCTCCTGAATTGAAGATGACTGAATTGTCAGAAAGATGTGTCTGTCTCTAAAAAGCAGTGGTGTTTCCCTGTGGCAGAAACATTTAATGACAAAATAACATGTACTCCCTTCACATTGCTTAGAATCTTGCGAATCTGGGCAACAGACTCTAAACAAGTATGTGTCTTTTGAGGCTAAAGTGTTTGGAGCTAGCCGAGAAGCCTATAGTTGGTCTTTCTTCTTGATGACTAGTGACATTCTAGCTGACGGAAATGCTATCATCCTGGGTCCCTACATGGCTATGTAGAATAAAGGCTCCTCTGCCACAATAATGCATACAAAAAATGATGTACCAAGAGCAAATGTATGTATTCTGCCATGGACATTTCAGAAATAATTTGTTATTGCAGCATAGCCTAGGCCGTACCAACTAATCTTCAGTTTTTATCCCCAAAAAGCTATTGTGGATAGAGAAAACTCAGTGATTCTCAGGGAAAAGTAATGCCCAGGCCGAATGTTTTCTGAAAGGCTGAAAATAAATGACAAACTATCAGCAGACTCACAAAGAAGAAAATGAGATAAAATCAAAATTATTATCACAGCAAAACAATTATATTGGGTGGAGAAAAGGATTGTGGCCAAATAGAAATTATAGTTTACATGTCCCAAGTTAATTTTCACCTGATTTTAGAAGAGATTGTTCTATTTTTAATTCATCTTCAGCCACTTTGAGAGATGAGTTATTTTTCTTTCCAATAATTATGTTTAAAGTTTGGCTGTCATCCACCCACTCATGAGTCTCTTCTCTGTTACTGTGATTGACAGCTTTCTTCAGTCTAAGGCAGCCACACCTACCAAACTACTTTACTTGAAGTGTAGCCAGAAGGATGTCCCCAGAAAAGCAATGCTCTGTCAAGTTTGGAGCCTCTAGGTCATCATCACCTTCCAAATGAACTCATGTAATTTTTCTGCTTGGATATAGATGAGATGTAACATAATATGTCCAAGAAGAATTACTTGTGAGCAGTGTGCTCTACTAGAAACAGCCTTGGACTTTAGTTCTTGCTTTGATGTTATTCTCTCTAGATTTGAAAACATGATCTCTGAATTTCCCTTCCTTCATCTGAACATTAAATTTGGAGAGAAGAGGTGGGAAAGTGGGAGGGGAAATAATGATATTTACCCTATCTAGCTCATAGAGTGTCTATGAGGATCAAATTAAGTGATAGATCAGACATTTTACAAGAAAGCTATCTAAATATGAAATGAAAAGATTTATATGCCTAGAATTAAAGATCTCTTCAAAATGCAACCATAAAATGAAGCATTGATAGGAAGCTTATATCCAGTTTCTCAAATGCAATACAGAATTATGCATCCCTGTCCACAGCTGGAAACTTTGGCTGCATCAAGTGCACAATATTGTTTTCAGGCAACCTTAGGCAAACAGACTAAGCTGAGACACAGTGTTCCTGCTTTCATGGGGAGAAAGTATAAATCAGGGATAGGGGCTGCACTTCAGTCTATAATCTTAAAATGTCCCCCTTCAATGATATTTAGAGTACCCTGAAGTAACTGCCTTCTCAGAAGCTGAGAAAAGTAGTATAGACAAGCCAGACAAGCTTTTTATTGCTGTATTGTCCAATTCCCTGAAAACTGGAGGAAATAACAAAAATGAAGACAGACTATTGCCCTAGATTTTTTTCTTAATAGTCAAAGATGAAACATTTACTTCTTCTTTTAGGGTTTCTGATTTACTTGTGACTCAGGTAAAACAGAGAGATCTAATACACACACACACCCATGCACACACCACACAGTCACATGCATACCAAGCACATTTTGATCCATTGTTGCCGAGTCTCTCTTCTTAACTAGTACTTTATATACTATTACATTAACACCTCCATTTTTCAGTTACCTAATTTACCCAAATCTACATTTTTGCAAATATTAAAACTATTCTTCAAAATTCAGGAATAAGTTTCAATCAGCCTGACACTAGAGAAGCAAATCACTGTGCCTGAGGGTGCATGGACAGCCCAAAATAGAGCCCTGCCTTGCCAGATGGCCTTGATCTCTGACTGCCCATAAAATAATGCCATTGAAACACTTCCACCATGCATGTGGGCTGTGGATCCATTTCATCCATAAAGTATGCTTCTTCCAGGTGTCCCACAACCTCACACAATCCCTCCAGTCATTTCTTGTCCCTTGTCCAGAAGCTCTGACTCACTTACCCAGGGGAATTTTTTCCAGCAGGTAGAGGTAGCACTGAAAGAAGTCATTTCTAATGGCTCTGTGGAGGATAAAGGACATGCTATGTCGGCAGAGTTCATCGTCAGTCTTCTGCCAGCGGGATCTAAAGGCAAAATGGGCTCCCAGGTGGGCCATGGCAAAAGGAGCTAATAATTATTCCTGCAAAGAAAGGAAGCTTGTCTGGCTGTTTCTTTGAATTAGCCTTCTCTTTCTAAAAGAACATGAGACTGTCATTTTAAACCAGTTGCCTGTCCATCTATATCAGGACAGGCTGTCATGGGGTGTGGAAGGAGGGTTAGCAGACTTGGGGAGGTCAGGCTCTTGGCAGATCCCCTGCCTGATTGCATGGGCAACACCATTCCAAGCCAGCAGGTGCTAAGTAAAGATGAAAACAGGCTGAGTGAGATCCTGCTTCATGCAGAATAAAAGCACACTTCTCTCCTTTAGCTGTGCCTTCAAACAGGCTTGAGCACAGCCTGCTAACACCCTGAATATTTGCTCTAATTTGATTCCTCAAATGGAACAGCCTAATTTCCATTTCAAAGAGTTGTGAATATTTTGCAGGAGATCCTATTCCCTGATTTCCATCACCCCTCCTGGAACACTGAATCCTCAAGTTACAAGGACCCTTCAAAGTCATCTTAGCCACTCACATTCCTTTCATCAGTGCAGTTTTTCCCAAATCACTTCATAGAGATAAATATGTGTTTCCTATTTTTAAGGATCTTCAAGAGATGCAATTATTTGAAAGCAGTTTTTATGTCAAATACCCCTCTCTATCAGCAAACTCTTCCATTTAGCCTACTCTAAACATCTATTCACATAAGCTTCTCTCTTCCTCCCCACTTATTGTGGTTAAGATTTTTCTCCTAAGTGTATTTGTTTGTACTATGTTCTGGTTGTGCCTCCAGATCTATTCTGTACTACTTGCATGTCACTATATGCCCCAGGAGGCTGACCTACATTGACTACATCAGTTTTACCCATTGAGTAACGCCCACAGGGAAATGAACAAGCATGAAATCGAGGTTTCTATTCCCCTGATATCTGGCCAGTGGAGATGCCCTAGGCTGCCAGTGCCTATAACATAAAGTTGTAGCTCCTGTATGGTCTTCTCCTGTAAATGTCCTCTCTAGGTTCTGGTATCTTCTCCTTCACCTCACTGCCGGAGGCCTAGGGGTAGGGATATGCCAGGCTGTTGCGAATCCTGTTCCTTGTCATTTCCCTATCTTTCTTCATATCTTTGTAAATAGTCCCTTGTAAGCCAGCTCAACTTGTGAATGTTATCACTTCCCTGCCAGGGACTGTGACTACTGCAGAAACCAAACCGGTATAACTGACTTGGCCAGTGTTCCTAACAGGAAAGTGCATATGAACTCAATGCACTCTTGGCCCAATACCGTGTACACTCACTGTCCCTGAAAACATAATGTATCTACATGCACATACACACAAACACACCATGGCACACAGCTCCTAAGACGGAGCTGTCATAGTCAGCTCAGGTTGCTAAAATGTAGTACAAACTACCAGGTGATTTAAACAACAAGCATTTATTCCTCACAGTTGGAGGCTAAGAAGTCTAAGGCCAAGGTGTTAGCAGACACAGATGTCTCATGAGGTCTTCCTCCTGGTTTACAAATGGTCCTTTTCTCGCTGTACACATGGCATCGAGTGAGACCAAACTCTTGTGTCTGTTAAGTACATTAATCCCATTCATAAGGGTTCTACCCTTGGCTCCTAATTACCTCCCCAGGCATCATCTCTAAACCTCATCATATTGGGAGTGAGAATTTCAATGTAAGAATTTTGAGGAAACACTAACCTTCAGCCTACTGTGGCCCCCAAATCCTCACCTCTTTTCTGCCTGGTACTCATATCTTTTGTCATCCTCTGCATTAATCACTTTCCTGTTGCTGGAACAAAATGCCCAACACCCACAATTTAAGGGGGAGAGGTTTATTTTGTGAACAGTTTCAGTGGATTCAGTCCATAGTAGACTGTCCAAGGCAAAAATGGCATGGTAGAAGGTCATGGTGGAGGGAAGCTGTTCACTGCATGGTGGCCAGGAGGCAGAGAGAGAATGGAGAAGGGAACAAGAATACATCCTTCCAGTCCATGCCACCAGTGACACCTCCTTCAACCAGGACCCACCTCCTGACAGTACATTCAGCATGCCCATGATCCAAAAGCCCCACCTCTGAAGATGAAACTTTGGGGGCAAATTTTAGATCTAAACCACAACAGCTTCTTTCCTTAAGTGTGTATGGGACTTACTGATCCAACCCTAAAGAATAAAGTACAGCAGAAGTGATGGGATATTACTTCCAAGATGAGGTTATGCAAAGACCATCTTAGGCTTCTTGTTTCTCTCTTCTGCTTATTTGTTTGAAGGAAATAGGCTGACTGTTTGAACTGCATTATGCAAAGCCCACATGTCAATGAACTGAGATTCTCAGCCAAAGAGCCCAGGAAGAACTGATTTCAACCAACAACCATGTGAGTGATCTTGGAAGCAAATGCATCCCCAGTCAGCAGTCTGGCTGCAACCTGAGGAGCAACCCTGAGCCAGCTAACCACACCCAAGTTACAACCCACAGAAATGCTCTTTAAAGTAGCTAAAATCTGGAATAACTTGTCACTATGCAGCAATTGATAACTAATATATCATCATCCATGGAATATTTTTAAGATATGAAATCTAACCATAATTTTTTTAAACTTTCATTTATGTCAATCTTTTCCTGGAAAAAGAAATAAGAATTGCACTTGTTTGACTCTAATTTATTTTCCTTCATGATTCTATGCTTCTGCATTCCCATTTCCCCCTATCCCCAGCAGAAGGACTCAATTTTGGTAGGATTGTCCCACTATCCCTGGCTTCTGGAATTTCCCAGATTGCAATGTGAGTTATCAATTTCCTCCTTGCCACAATGTGTGGCTACTAATCAGTCACATTCCCCAGGCCTGAGCCACTCAGAGAAAGCTGTTCTCTGGCTCCAGTTTTCATATGGGATTGAACACATAATCTTCCTTGTTTTATTGTTAATACCAGCTTGGGTTTTCCATGCTAGCAAAGTGGAGTCTCATCTAATTCAAATACTATCCTGCATCATTTTTACTCAGTAAGCTCTCAGAAATAGAGTAGATGATACAAAACAGAAGAGAGAACTTGCAAGTGGGATTATTTCATAATGTAAGAAGGAGGGCTCTTGACTGGAATGAAATAGGTATGACCAAGTTAAAAATATATGGCCACCACTTACATAGGAGGTACGTGGAGAAAATAATTCTTTAGTTTCTCTGAGCCACATTTTCCTCTTCTGTGATAAGAAAATGATGGTACTAGCATATACTTTATGTATCTATGGCAAAGATTAAATAAACAACTCTGTGTAAAATACTACAGAGCCTAGCACACAGCACATGTTCAATAAATGCTAGCTAGTCTCATAATTTCCTGGGAAGAAAGCTGATAATAATTTATATTGATAAAATACCTCATCTTCCTGGCTCTCCTTAGGTTATATTTAAGCAATTTATCACATATTTTAGAGATTATTTGTACTTGATGCATTTAAGAATTGAAAAGAAAAGAAGTTCAAATTCAATGTGCTGTTAGAGTGCATTCATCTGTGATTTGGAATTTTCTGGCGCTGTAGGAAAATTACATAGAAGATGAAGACAAAGGCATTCTCCTTTGGCATTTTTGGTAATCCATATATTTAGCAGGAGGCAGGTTCTTAACTCCAACATCTTAGAAATGTTTTCATAACCCTTCATATTCTGAAGAGGTCAGGATATTTGGTCCTGAGAGAGGCCTGGCTGACTCCAGATACTCAGTATTGCTTATTTAGGAATTGATATTGGCAAGTTTCCTCACTTTTACAGAACTAATTTTCTTGCACTATAAACTGGACATTAACTATTTACTTTGGGACAATGATTATTAAGTATTCTACAATCTCCACATTCCAGACCGATAATTTCTGAGTAGAGTGAAAGACTGATTGCTTTATACAAAATGCCTTTGTCCAGTTTTGTTTATCTCTGTGGGTCATTTTAGATTTTGTAGCTATTTCTCAGACCGGTATAGCTGGAAGCAGTTTCTGGCTCATTGGATTTGTTTCCTTATGCCAATCATTTTTCTTTCATGGATGAAATGCTCAATTTGCTCCTACCTCACACCACTGTTTGCCACATTTCTACCAAATGAAGGAACTTATGATATAGATCTCAGCTCTACCACAAGCATCCAACTTTCAGGCAGGAAAAGAAAACAATGAATGTAGAGGGAAAAAATATGACTGCAGCAAGAGAAAGCAAAAACTCGGAATTTACCTTCTTGGTTCACCTTCTCATAGGGATTTCTTGGTGAGGGGGAATTACTGTTAAAAAATAAATTATCTATTATTCTAACTAAAAAAGATGGAAACAGATTTAGGAAACACACCAAAAAAAATATCATGGAGAGACTTGGAAGGAAGGAAGGTGAAGGAAGAAGAAAAGCTGAATAAAAAGTATATTTATTCAGCAATATTGTAAGATAAATATTTAGGGAGATCTACTAAATATAAAATATCCCTCAAATAAAAACTTTAAAGTAAAATTCCACAAAAGTGATGAAATAAAGAGATGTACAGTCAAAGAGAGAATTTGCCACTCATAGGTGTTCACTGGCAAAGTAACTAAAACACTTTAGGAAAAGTGGAATTAAGACAGTGTGCTATTAAAGGAGAGATAAACCAGAAATAGTGCCACACACCTGTAATCCCAGCACTCTGAGGGGCTAAAACAGGAGAATCACAAGTTTGATCCCAAACTGGTCAACTTTGCAACTTAGTGAGACTCTGTCTCAAAGTTAAGTTAGGCAGATGATACATACATAGATAGATAGACAGATAAATAGATAGATGGATAGATGGATGAAGCTGGGATGTAGCTCAGTGCAAATACTCCACCTTCAGTCCCCAATACCAAAAAACAAAATGAAACACCACAGAGAAGTAGACGCAGACACGGCAAACAAATCTATTTTTACATCATAAGCTGGTAGAAGACAGATAATGTTGCAGTAGAAATAAGATATTGTCCAAAGAATCCCGTCATTTGTATCCTCATCTCACATCGTACAC